ACGTCCACGTCCACGTCCATGTCCACGTCCACGTCCTCGTCCACGTCCAGGTCAACGTCCATGTCTACGTCCACGTCCACGTCCATGTCCATGTCCACGTCCACGTCCATGTCCACGACCACGTCCACGTCCACGACCACGTCCACGTCCACGTCCACGTCCACGTCCACGTCTAAGTCCATGTCCACGTCCACGTCCACGTCCACGTCCACGTCCACATCCACGACCATGTCTTCGTCCACATCCACGTCCACGTCCATGTCCACGTCCATGTCCACGTCCAAGTTCTCCACGTCCACGTCCACTTCCACGTCGACGTCCACGTACATGTCCACGTCCATGTCCACGTCCACGTACATGTCCACGTCCACGTCCACGTCCACATCCACGTCCACGTCAACGTCCATCTCCACGTCCAAGTCCTCCACGTCCACGTCCACGTCCATCTCCACGTCCACGTCCACGTCCACGTCCACGCCCACGTCCAGTCCACGGTCCATGTCCACGTCCATGTCCACGTCCATGTCCACGTCCATGTCCACGTCATCACGTCCATGTCCACGTCCACGTCCATGTCCACGTCCATGTCCACGTCCATGTCCACGTCCACGTCCATGTCCACGTCCACGTCCACGTCCACAACCATGTGCACGTCCACGTCCATGTCCACGTCCACGTCCACGTCCACGACCATGTCCACGTCCACGTCCACGTCCACGTCCACGACCATGTGCACGTCCACGTCCATGTCCACGTCCACGTCCACGTCCACGTCCATGTCCAGGTCCATGTCCACGTCCACGTCCACGTCGACCTCCACGTCCATGTCCACGTCCACGTCCACTTCCACGTCCACGTCCACGTCCACGTCCATGTCCACGTCCACGTCCACGTCCATGTCCAGGTCCAAGTCCTCCACGTCCACGTCCACGTTCACGTCCATGTCCACGTCTACGTCCTCCACGTCCACGTCCACATCCACGTCCACGTCCACGTCCACGTCCACGTCCACGTCCATGTCCACGTCCACGTCCACTCCACGTCCACTCCACGTCCACGTCCACGTCCACGTCCATGTCCATGTCCACGTCCATGTCCACGTCCACGTCCACGTCCATGTCCACGTCCATGTCCACGTCCACGTCCACGTCCACCTCCATGTCCACGTCCACGTCCACGTCCATGTCCATGTCCACGTCCACGTCCACGTCCACGTCCACGTCACGTCCACGTCCACGTCCATGTCCACGTCTACGTCCACGTAAACGTCCACGTCCACGTCCACGTCCACTCCACGTCCACGTCCATGTCCACGTCCAAGTCCTCGACGTCCACGTCCACGTCCACGTTCACGTCCATGTCCACGTCCAAGTTCTCCACGTCCACGTCCACGTCCACGTCCACGTCTACGTCCACGTCCTCCACGTCCAGTCCACGCGTCCACGTCCACATCCACGTCCACGTCCACGTCCACGTCCACGTCCACGTCGTCCACGTCCACGTCCACGTCCACGTCCACGTCCACGTCAGCGTCCGCGTCCACGTCCACGTCCGCGTCCGCGTCCACGTCCACGTCCACGTCCGCGTCCACGTCCACGTCCACGTCACGTCCACGACCACGTCCACGTCCACCTCCACGTCCACCTCCACGTCCATGTCCACGTCCACCTCCACCTCCACGTCCACGTCCACGTCCACGTCCACGTCCACGTCCACCTCCACGTCCACGTCCACGTCCACGTCCACGTCCACGTCCACGTCCACGACCACGTCCACGTCCACGTCCACGTCCACGTCTACGTCCACGTCCACGTCCACGTCCACGTCGACGTCCACGTCCACGTCCACGTCCACGTCTACGTCCACGTCCACGTCTACGTCCACGTCTACGTCCACGTCCACGTCCACGTCCACGTCCATGTCCACGTCCACGTCCACGTCCACGTCTATGTCCACGTCCATGTCCACGTCCAAGTCCTCCACGTCCGCGTCTACGTCCATGTCCACGTCCATGTCCGCGTCCAGGTCCACGTCCACGTCCACGTCCACGTCCACGTCCACGTCCGCGTCCACGTCCCCGTCCATGTCCGCGTCCACGTCCACGTCCATGTCCGCTGTCCACGTCCACGTCCAGGTCCACGTCCACGTCCCCGTCCAGGTCCACGTCCACGTCTACGTCCACGTCCACGTCCACGACCACGTGCACGTCCACGTCCACGTCCACGTCCACGTCCCTGTCCACGTCCACGTCCACGTCCACGTCCCTGTCCACGTCCACGTCCATGTCCACGTCCATGTCCACGTCCACGTCCATGTCCACGTCCACGTCCATGTCCACGTCCATGTCCATGTCCATGTCCACGTCCACGTCCACGTCCACGACCACGTCCATGTCATTTGCACTCGAAGTTCCCATACTGACCGACCTGGCCAATGCACCATTTTCCATATACATATGCATTAGATTCCTTTCAAACCTTTTTAGTTCACTAGATTTATATATTTCCCACCTTCTGATCGAGTGAGACCGCTAGATTCCCTCTACTTTCTGAGAAATGAGCGTTTCCGTTCTCCTTGGCCCTAGTTGCACTATCAGTGCGAAATGCCGGCCAGACTGGCCGACGCACAATTTTCTCTACACATGTGAGTAAGTTACCTTTCAAACCCTTATGTTCACTAGATGAATATATTTCCTACTTTCTATTTGGGTGAGACCACTTGATTCCGTGTACTATGCGAGATCTGAGCTCTTCCGTTCTCCCTGGCATTTGCATTTTAAGTTCCGATACTGACCGACCTGGCCAATGCACCATTTTCTCTATACATGTGCGTTGAATACATTTCAAACCTTTTTAGCTGACTAGATTTATATATTTCCCACCTTTTGATTGAGTGAGACGGTTAGATTCCCTCTACTTTTTGAGAAACGAGCGTTTCCGTTCTCCCTGGCCCCACCTGCACTATGAGTGCGAAATGCCGGCCAGACTGGCCGATGCACCATTTTCTCTACACATGTGCGTTAGTTACCTTTCAAACCCTTACGTTCACTAGATGAATATATTTCCTACTTTCTATTTGAGTGAGACCACTTGATTCCGTGTACTATGCGAGATCTGAGCGCTTCCGTTCTCCCTGGCATTTGCATTTTAAGTTCCGATACTGACCGACCTGGCCAATGCACCATTTTCTCTATACATGTGCGTTGAATACATTTCAAACCTTTTTAGCTGACTAGATTTATATATTTCCCACCTTCTGATCGAGTGAGACCGTTAGATTCCCTCTACTTTTTGAGAAACGAGCGTTTCCGTTCTACCTGGCCCAACCTGCACTATGAGTACGAAATGCCGGCCAGACTGGCCGATGCACCATTTTCTCTACACATGTGCATTAGTTACCTTTCAACCCTTACGTTCACTAGATGAATATATTTCCTACCTTATATTTGAGTGAGACCACTAGATTCCGTGTATTATGCGAGATCTGAGCGGTACCGTTCTCCCTCGCATTTGCACTCTAAGTTCCCATACTGACCGACCTGGCCAATGCACCACTTTCCATATACATATGCATTAGATTCCTTCTGAACCTTATTAGCTCACTAGATTTATATATTTCCCACCTTTTGATCGAGTGATCCCGCTAGATTCCCTTTACTTTCTGAGAAATGAGCGTTTCCGTTCTCCCTGGCCCTACTTGCACTCTGAGTGCGAAATGCCGGCCAGACTGGCCGATGCACAATTTTATCTACACATGTGCGTTAGTTACCTTTCAAACCCTTACGTTCACTAGATGAATATATTTCCTACCTTATATTTGAGTGAGACCACTAGATTCCGTGTATTATGCGAGATCTGAGCGGTTCTGTTCTCCCAGGCATTTGCACTGAAGTTCCCATACTGACCGACCTGGCCAATGCACCACTTTCCATATACATATGCATTAGATTCCTTTCAAACCTTATTAGCTCACTAGATTTATATATTTCCCACCTTTTGATCGAGTGAGACCGCTAGATTCCCTTTACTTTTTGAGAAATGAGCATTTCCGTTCTCCTTGGCCCTACTTGCACTATAAGTGCGAAATGCCGGCCAGACTGGCCGATGCACCATATTCTCTACACATGTGCGTTAGTTACCTTTCAAACCCTTACGTTCACTAGATGAATTTATTTCCTACCTTCTATTTGAGTGAGACCACTAGATTCTGTGTAACTATGCGAGATCTGAGCGCTTCCATTCTCCCTGGCATTTGCACTATAAGTTCCCATACTGACCGACCTGGCCAATGCACCACTTTCCATATACATATACATTAGATTCCTTCCGAACCTTATTAGCTCACTAGATTTATATATTTCCCACCTTTTGATCGAGTGATCCGGCTAGATTCCCTTTACTTTCTGAGAAATGAGCGTTTCCGTTCTCCTTGGCCCTACTTGCACTATAAGTGCGAAATGCCGGCCAGACTGGCCGATGCACAATTTTCTCTACACATGTGCGTTAGTTACCTTTCAAACCCTTACGTTCACTAGATGAATATATTTCCTACCTTATATTTGAGTGAGACCACTGGATTCCGTGTATTATGCGAGATCTGAGCGGTTCTGTTCTCCCAGGCATTTGCACTCTAAGTTCCCATACTGACCGACCTCGCCAATGTGAAAAGAATGAACAGGAATGAAATGACTAAGTCAGAGTTGGGTACAAATACAACCCTAGAAAGCTGTACCCCATATGTGCTACCCCACTATAGCCTACAAACATGCATCAGTTATAATACTCTGACACACCCCCATAGGCAAAGTGGGGGAGAACAAGGGGTCACAAGACCAGTCAAGCAAAGCAAAGCAAAGCAAGCTCAGGGTGGATCACAAAGTCACCACACAGTCCGAGCACAAGAGTAGGGCCAGAGGCCAGTTCACATGCAGGAGGACAGACATATATATAAAACTAGACAAGCAAGAGCAGGTATATATATATGTCACAGTACAAGTGAAGTCAAGAGGAGAGCAAGTGAGGCAAGACAGGCACAAGACCCAGCTGGGTGCAAAAGCGCTGATCGTCACAAGGCGCGAGTGCCTTGGTGAACACATCAGCAGTGTTGGCCTTAGAGGCCACGTACGCAAGTCGCAACTGACCACGCTGCTGCAGCTCACGAGCAAGGAAGTAGCGGAGAGCAATGTGCTTCGTTCTGTGCTCCAAGCGCTGCTCTCGACACAAGGCCAGCATGGCCTTGTTGTCTACGTACAGCACTGGAGGAGAACGAGGCGGCTCTCCAAGGTCAGTCAGCAGGTAGGTGAGCCAGCGAAGCTCCTGTGCAGCCATGGCCCCGGCGTAGATCTCAGCCTCACAACTGGAGCCGAGAACTAAAGACGAGCGAGTAGACCGCCACGAGACAGAGCCGGAACCAAGGCTGAAGGTGTAACCCTGTGACGACCGCTGCGTAGCCTGGTCGTCAGCCCAAGAAGCGTCCGCGTGGCCTGTAAGGACCACTGGACTCCGCCCTCCAAGCACTAGCCCCATGCCCGACGTACTGCACAGGTAGCGCAATACCCTCTTCGCTGCTGCCATGTGCTCTGGTCGGTGTCTCCCAGGAGCAACATAGCGTGCAAGAATGCTCAAAGGGTATGCAAGGTCAGGTCGTGTGCAGGTCATCAGGTACATGAGGCAGCCAACAAGCTCTGCATACGGACCACTCGACTCTAAGGACTCATCCGAAGGCAGAGCTGAGAGTGAGTGGCGAGTAGGCAGAGGAGTGGCCTGAGGCGAGGAGTACGTGAAGCCGAAGCGCTGAAGGACCTGCTGCACCATGTGTGACTGAGTCAAGGTAATGGTGCGGCGTGCTCTATCCCGAGTGATCTGCAAGCCAAGGTAGCTGCGCAGTTCACCCAGGTCAGTGCACGTGTGTCTCTTCAGCAGCTCGGACTTCACGTAGGCGAGTCCAGCAGTGTCCGCTGTGGCAAAGACCAAGTCGTCGACGTACACGAGGATGTAGAACGGCGGCAGTGAAGTGTCGGTGCGCAGAAACAGCGACGGGTCAGCAGTAGAGGGAGCAAACCCAAGAGCCGCAAGCGTAGTCCTCAGTGTGTCGTGCCACTCACGCGGTGCCTGGCGGAGACCGTAGACTGGCCGTCGGAGGCTCCACTGGGTGCCAGGAGGGAAAGTCCCAGTGAAGCCAGGCGGACGGCGCAGCCAGATCTCCTCGTGCAGGCTACCCTGCAAGAACGCAGTGCTGAAGTCGAGAGAGTGAAGCTCGTAGTCGCGCTGAGCGGCTATGTGCAGCAGCACCCGAAGAGTGGTCATCTTCAGGGTGGGAGAGAAGGTCTGAAAGTAGTCAACTCCCTGCCGCTGACTGAAGCCACGAACAACGTACCGCGCCTTGAAGACAGGTGGAGAGCCCGGCGGCCGCTTCACCCTGAAGATCCACATGCCACTGACGATGTTCGCCCCAGGAGGGGGAACTGCGTCAACGTAGGTGCCTGTGGACTTCCAGGAAGCCATCTCTGCATCCATAGCTGCCTGCCACTGAGAGGAGTAGGGACCCTCTACGGCCTCCGCGTAAGAGCGCGGAGTCGGGATGTCTAGTGCATCCGGGTCTCCCTCAGGAGCAAGCAGTACAGACGCGAGATGAGGTGAAGCAGCAGCCAGACACTGTAACTCCTCCTGCCTGTCCTCTAGGACGTCCGTGCCAAGAGCACTCTCACCCCCGACGGACGGAGGACAGACAGACGCAGACTCAGCAACAAGACTAGCAGCGTAGTCGAGACGACAGCGAGCAGCAAAGTCGACGAGCTCAGCGACAAGAGCAGACGCAGCAGTGGACTCAAAAGAGGGGTCAGTGACGACAGTAGCAAGCAGACGCGTGACAGTAGGACTGGCAGCACGAAGAGAGTCCAACTCAGGGTCAGCAAGCGCAGGAAGAGAGGACTCAGGAGGAGAAGGCAAAGGGGCACGCAGAGGAGCAGTGGACGGACGCAGAGACATCCGGTGTGTGCCAGGGACAGGAGGAGGACGCTGACGCGAACTGCGACCACTAGCGCGAGCAGCACGAACAGGCGACGCGGGACGAGACGCAGGCTCACGGCGCTCAGCAAGACCACCAGTAGGACCAGTGTAAGGAGAGGGAGCAGGCAGTGGAGAGGAAGGCTCCAGTAGGGACTGCGACTGGACAGGCGGTGAACCCTCTACCGGAGGAGAAAGACCAAGAACCTGCTGCAGGAGCGGAACGAAGTACGGCCGAGGCCGCGCGGCAGCTCCAGACTCAGCAGGGACAGCACCAGCACCCTCAGCGACAGCACCAGCGCCACCCACACCTCCAGCGGCAGGACCAACAGCAGTACCAGCAGCAGAACCACCGAGAGGACAGACAGCAGTGGTCTCAGCACCAACACCCTCAGCAGCTCCAGCTCCAGGATGACTCGCAGGCCCAGAAGCTCCCGGGACCGGCAGCACCAGCACCCTCGACGGTCGAAGAAGCTCCAGCTCCAGCAGCACGCCTCCAGCGGCGAGCAAACCACTCGCGCAGCTCCTGGGGAGAGAGGGGCTCCCGTCGAGACGCAGCAGCAGGAGAAACCCCAGGCTCAGCACCCCCAGGCTCAGCAGCTCCAGACTCAGCACCCCCAGGCTCAGCAGCTCCAGGCACAGCACCCCCCGGCGCAGCACCCTCCGCAGTAGTATCCCCAGGCCCAGCACCCCCAGGCTCAGCACCCCCAGTAGCAGCACCTCCAGGCCCGGCACCCCCGCGCACAGCACCCCCAGAGTCAGCACCCCCAGGCTCAGCACCCGCAGCAGCACCAGAGTCACCAGTAACCTCGACCGGGTCAACTGCGTCTACATGGGACACACCTGAGGGGGCAGGAACCGGAGGGGGGAGGGGGTCTACCGGGGGGGGAACCGGCACAAGGAAGTCCGGCGGAGGGGGGAGGGAAGGAGTGCGGTAGGGGAAGAGGCGGTAGAAGGGGACTGACTCGTCGAACGTGACGTCCTGGGAGGACAGAACACGACGAGAGGAGGGGTGGTAAAACTGCCACCCTGGAGCGTCAGTGGGGAAGCCAAGGAAGACACAGGGAGCAGCACGAGGGGACAGCTTGTCCGCAGACAAGTCGCGGACAAACGCCCGAGATCCCCAGACACGGAACGTCGACGCATCGCCAACCTTCCCCGTCCACGTAAGACTGGGGACATCGCGGGCCGAGAGACCCTGGGGTGAAGGTTGAGCTGATGCGCCGCGTACCTCACCGCAAACGGCCACAGAAAATGGGGGGCAGCCGCATGCATCATGGACGTACGAGCGACATCCATGACCATGCCAATGAGGCGCTCAGCAATCCCATTTTGATGTGGAGAGTCCGGAAGCGTGAAGGTCTGGCGGATCCCCCGTGCACGACAGTAGTCTCGCAGAAGGCGCGAGGAGAACTCTCCGCCTCTGTCCGAGTGCAGACGCTGAACAGGAAAGTCCGAGCCGAAGCTCTTCCTGAGCTGGAGACGAGCCTCGCGGATCCAGTCGATCAGCACCTCAGTGACAGCACCCTTGCTGCGCAAGGGGAGGACTGTGGTGTAACGCGAGTAGTCGTCAACCACCAACAGAAAGTAGCGCTCGTGACCCTGCCCACGGACGGGGGCTGGGCCCCACACGTCCATGTGAAGCGTCTGCAGAGGAGCCTCGGTCGGGGGGAACTGGGAGGAGTGAGGAGCAGCCCTGAGGCGACCCTCGACACAGGGGACACAGGAAGGTCCTGGCCCGGAGGGAAGGGGAGGGAGAGACTGGGGAAGACCAGAGACAAGGACACGGGAAGCCATGCTCCGAGGACGGGGCAAGGAGTGGTGGCCAAGACGGTGGTGCCACAGGAGAGTCTCGTGAGACAGGAGGCGACAAGAACAGGGGGCAGACTCAGGACCTGACCGGGACGCAGCAGCAAGCACCTGACCTGACGCAGCCACCTGACCAGACGCAGGGACAGGAGGAGACTCAACGGTCAGGGTGTAGAGACTCGACCCCGGCCGACGCGAGAACGTGGCCAGGTGTCGGCCTGTGCGTGCCTCCGTGCAGTGGGTCACCCGCTGACTCGCAGGAGTGAACTGGTGAACCCCCACATCCTGCAGGTCCGCGCCACTCACCATGTTCGTAGAGAACGAGGGAAGGTACAGACCAGACAGGGTGCCCGAAGGGGCAGCCGGACATGGGAGGACAGTGGAGAAGTGAGACAGGACAGGACCCCCAGAGGGGTCAGCCAGGGAGACGGCAACCGGCCGGCCAAGCGGCGTAAGGGTGGTGCGGTCTCGAAAGAAGGAGCGAGAAGCCCCAGAGTCAAGTGTGAAAGTAAGGGAGGACGAGGGCGACGCAGTACCTGAGGGCGCAGTCTCACCAGTACCTGAGAGCGCAGACGCACTGGCACCTAGAGCAGCAGCCTCACAAGCACCTAGCGCAGCAGTACCAATGCCCGGGTCGGGCTGGAAACACCGGTAACCCTCAGTCTCCTCACTAATAGTCACAGCATACATAACAGCAAGGATAGCATCAAAATCAAGATCAAAGATCGCTACACCAGCCCTAAGAAGCTCATCCCAGCGAGGGATCTCACTAGCCCCGGGGAACTGCTGACGCCAAGCGTCCGTCAGGCGGCCAAAGCAGCGCTGGGTGGGGTGGGCACCCCCACACTGCTCACCCGCGCGGTCGCCGGAACGAAGGACGTAGGTGCAAGGACCAGTACCCCCACCCCTCTGACGCTGAGTGTACCACTCACGAAGCTGCTGAGGCGGAGGGATGTCCCGCGAACGCTGCTGCTGCTGCTGCTGCGAGCGCTGGCCACCACCACCGCCGCTCCGCTGCTGGGTACCACCCCGACCAGCTCCACCTCCTCCACCACCACCGCCTCCTCCGCTGCCTCCTCCGCCGCCTCCACCTCCGCCGCTGCCACCACCACCACCGCTGCCACCACCACCGCCGCCTCCGCCGCTGCTGACACCGCCACCACCACCCCCGCCACTACTCCCGCCGCCACCCCCCACTCCCTCCGCCGCCTCCGCCGCCACCGCCACCGCCCCCTCCAGCTCCACCCGCGCCCTTGCCCCCCTTGCCCTTGCCAGAGCGACGTCTCCCACTAGGGGCAGACGCCGCGCCGACCGACTCAAGACCAAGCAGGTCGGCAGCAGCAGCAGAGGCAACAGAGGGCAGCAAGGCGGAAGGAGAGCACCCCTCAAAGATGGGGGTGCGAGGGTCTCCACGAGAAGCTCCTACAGCGACTATGCTCTTCTCCGCTGCGAGGAGGGCCTTCTCGAGGACGTCGACGGTGAGGGTGGTGGGACAGACTGCGAGAAAGTGGTCCCTGACTACGCGAAGGGAGTCATGGAGGCGTGCGACTACGTAGTAGAGAGTGATGTACATGGGGGGGGGGTTCTTAGCGCAGAACTCAGCAGGAAGGGCGGCGCGGTAGCGAGTGTCACTAGTGCGGAGGTGCGTAATGAGGTCAGCGACAGTGGGAAAGGCAGAGAGGTCAGGAAAGAGGTAGGGAAGCATGAGACGGCTCAGTGCAGCAGTGGAAGGGGAGGAGTAGCGCGCAACTACAGCGTCGTACAAGGTCTGAGCACTCTTGTACTGACTAAAGTGCGCGCGCTCAGAGGTAGGGAGGTGGCGACGCACAGCAAGACGTGCAGCAACATCGCGGGTGGCCCACTGAGAGCGCATAGTGGGATCAGCATCAGCAGCAGGAGCAGGAGAGGCGCCAGAGGTAAGGTCAAAGAGAGAGAGGCCGTCTGCCCTATCGCACTGTAAAAACAACTGCAGGTCGTCTACCCAGACCTCAAAGTCAATGGCGCGACCCTCAGCGTCAAAAGCCAGGACACTAGGGGTAGCCATGACGACGACAGCGAAGAAGTGCAAGCAGTAGGGGAAGAGCACGCAGTGACAGTGGGACTGTGCTCACCAGGCAGGGCAGGCCGGGCAACTCTGCAGAAGGGCGGCTCGGCTGCTGGGCGGCTCGGCTCCCGGGCGGCTCGGCGGCAGGGCAGCTCTGGTGCAGGGCGGCTCGGCTCCCGGGCGGCTCGGCGGCAGGGCGGCTCGGGTGCAGGGCGGCTCGGCTCCTGGGCGGCTCGGCGGCAGGGCAGCTCTGGTGCAGGGCGGCTCGGCTCCCGGGCGGCTCGGCGGCAGGGCGGCTCGGGTGCAGGGCGGCTCGGCTCCCGGGCGGCTCGGCGGCAGGGCGGCTCGGCTGCACTGCTGCTCAGCTGCTGCAGGTGGGCGGCTCGGCTGCTGCAGGTAGGGTGGCGGGGCCGCGAGATCAGGGGCAGCTGGGGCCGAAGTAGCAGGGCCGGCAGGTGCAGCGGCGGGGACGGCAGGGCCGCGGCTGGTGGAGCGGCGGGGCCGGCAGAGAGGGCGGCGGAGCCGCGGCTGAGCAGGCGGCGGGGCCGGCGGCGTAGCGGGCGGCGGGGCCGGCGGCGTAGCGGGCGGCGGGGCCGGCGGCGTAGCGGGCGGCGGGGCCGTGTCGTAGTCGGCGGCTGGGCCGCGTCGTAGCGGGCGGCGTGGCCGCGTCAGAGCAGGCGGCGGGGCCGCGTCAGAGGTGGCGGCGGGGCCGCGTCAGATCAGGCGGCGGGGCCGCGTCAGAGGTGGCGGCGGGGCCGCGTCAGATCAGGCAGCGGGGCCGCGTAAGAGGTGGCGGCGGGGCCGCGTCAGAGAAGGCGGCGGGGCCGCGTCGTAGCGGGCGGCGGGGCCGCATTAGAGTAAGCGGCAGGGCCGCGTCAGAGCAGGCGGCAGGGCCGCGTCGAGCAGGTAGCGGGGTCGCTGCGTAGCTGGCGGCGGGGCCGCGATCGGGCGGCGGGGCCGCGACGTGGTGGCGGGGCCGCGATCGGGTGGCGGGGCCGCGATCAGAAGGGGTGGCGGGGCCGCGTGTGAGGGACGGCGGGGCCACGAGGGAAAGGGCGACTCGAGGGGTCGCTAAAAAAAAAAAGGTGCGCGCCTCGGGGCGCGCTTCGGTGGGCCCTAGGCAACGTTCCCACAGGGAACTCGCTCTATACCATGTGAAATAAATGACCAGGAATGAAATGACTAAGTCAGAGTTGGGTACAAATACAACCCTAGAAAGCTGTACCCCATATGTGCTACCCCACTATAGCCTACAAACATGCATCAGCAATAATACTCTGGTATACTATGCGAGATCTGAGCGCTTCCTTTCTCCCTGGCATTTGTACTCTAAGTTCCCATACTGACCGACCTGGCCAATGCACCATTTTCCATATACATATGCATTAGATTCCTTTCGAACCTTATTAGCTCACTAGATTTATATATTTCCCACCTTCTGATCGAGTGAGACCGCTAGATTCCCTTTACTTTTTGAGATATGAGCGTTTCCGTTCTCCTTGGCCCTACTTGCACTATAAGTGCGAAATGCCGGCCAGACTGGCCGATGCACCATTTTCTCTACACATGTGCGTTAGTTACCTTTCAAACCCTTACGTTCACTAGATGAATTTATTTCCTTCCTTCTATTTGAGTGAGACCACTAGATTCCGTGTACTATGCGAGATCTGAGCGCTTCCTTTCTCCCTGGCATTTGCACTCTAAGTTCCCATACTGACCGACCTGGCCAATGCACCATTTTCCATATACATATGCATTAGATTCCTTTCGAACCTTATTAGCTCACTAGATTTATATATTTCCCACCTTCTGATCGAGTGAGACCGCTAGATTCCCTTTACTTTTTGAGAAATGAGCGTTTCCGTTCTCCTTGGCCCTACTTGCACTATAAGTGCGAAATGCCGGCCAGACTGGCCGATGCACCATTTTCTCTACACATGTGCGTTAGTTACCATTCAAACCCTTACGTTCACTAGATGAATTTATTTCCTACCTTCTATTTGGGTGAGACCACTAGATTCTGTGTACTATGCGAGATCTGAGCGCTTCCGTTCTCCCAGGCATTTGCACTCTAAGTTCCCATACTGACCGACCTGGCCAATGCACCATTTTCCATATACATATGCATTAGATTCCTTTCAAACCTTATTAACTCACTGGATTTATATATTTCCCACCTTCTGATCGAGTGAGACCGCTAGATTTCCTCTACTTTTTGAGAAATGAGCGTTTCCGTTCTCCTTGGCCCTAGTTGCACTATAAGTGCGAAATGCCGGCCAGACTGGCCGATGCACAATTTTCTCTACACATGTGCGTTAGTTACCTTTCAAGCCATTACGTTCACTAGATGAATATATTTCCTACCTTATATTTGAGTGAGACCACTAGATTCCGTGTATTATGGGAGATCTGAGCAGTTCCGTTCTCCCAGGCATTTGCACTCTAAGTTCCCATACTGACCGACCTGGCCAATGCACCACTTTCTATATACATATGCATTAGATTCCTTCTGAACCTTATAAGCTCACTAGATTTATATATTTCCCACCTTCTGATCGAGTGAGACTGCTAGATTCCCTTTACTTTTTGAGAAATGAGCGTTTCCGTTCTCCTTGGCCCTACTTGCACTATAAGTGCGAAATGCCGGCCAGATTGGCAGATGCACCATTTTCTCTACACATGTGCGTTAGATACCTTTCAAACCCTTACGTTCACTAGATGAATTTATTTCCTACCTTCTATTTGAGTGAGACCACTAGATTCCATGTACGATGCGAGATCTGAGCGCTTTCGTTCTCCCTAGCATTTGCATTTGAAGTTCCGATATTGACCGACCTGGCCAATGCACCATTTTCTCTATACATATGCGCTGAATACATTTCAAACCTTTTTAGCTGACTAGATTTATATATTTCCCACCTTCTGATCGAGTGAGACCGTTAGATTCCCTCTACTTTTTGAGAAACGATCGTTTCCGTTCTCCCTGGCCCCACCTGCACTATGAGTGCGAAATGCCGGCCAGACTGGCCGATGCACCAAGGGCATAGCGTGTGCAAAATAAAAAGAACAAGGGCCTAGCGTGTGCAAAATTGCAACAACAAGGACCTAGCGTGTGCAAAAAATCAACAACAAGGGCCTAGCATTCGCGAAATTGCAAAAACAAGGGCCTAGCGAGTGCAAAATAGCAAGAGCAAGGGCCTAGCGTATGCAAAAAATCAAGAACAGGGGCCTAGCGTTCGCGAAATTGCAAGAACAAGGGCCTAGCGTGTGCAAAATGAAAAGAACAAGGGTCTAGCATGTGCAAAATTGCAAGAACAAGGGCCTAGCGCGTGCAAAATAAAAAGAACAAGGGCATAGCGTGTGCAAAATAGCAAGAACAAGGGCCTAGCGTGTGCAAAATAAAAAGAACAAGGGCCTAGCGTGTGCAAAATAAAAAGAACAAGGGCCTAGCGTTTGCAAAATTGCAAGAACAAGGGCCTAGCATGTGCAAAATTGCAAGAACAAGGGCTTAGCGAGTGCAAAATAGCAAGCAAGGGCCTAGCGTGTGCAAAAACTCAAGAACAAAAGCCTAGCGTTCGCGAAATAGCAAGAACAAGGGCCTAGCGTGTGCAAAATAAAAAGAACAAGGGTCTAGCATGTGCAAAATTGCAAGAACAAGGGCCTAGCGTGTGCAAAATAAAAAGAACAAGGGCATAGCGTGTGCAAAGTAGCAAGAACAAGGGCCTAGCGTGTGCAAAATAAAAAGAACAAGGGCCTAGCGTGTGCAAAATAGCAAGAACAAGGGCCTAGCGTGTGCAAAATTGCAAGAACAAGGGCCTAGCGTGTGCAGAATTGCTAGAACAAGGGCCTAGCGAGTGCAAAATAGCAAGAGCAAGGGCCTAGCGCGTGCAAAAAATCAAGAACAAGGGCCTAGCGTTCACGAAATAGCAAGAACAAAGGCCTAGCGTGTGCAAAATAAAAAGAACAAGGGTCTAGCATGTGCAAAATTGCAAGAACAAGGGCCTAGCGTGTGCAAAATAAAAAGAACAAGGGCATAGCGTGTGCAAAATAGCAAGAACAAGGGCCTAGCATGTGCAAAATATAAGAACAAGGGCCTAGCGTGTGCAAAATAAAAAGAACAAGGGCCTAGCGTGTGCAAAATTGCAAGAGCAAGGGCATAGCGTGTGCAAAATAAAAAGAACAAGGGTCTAGTATGTGCAAAATTGCAAGAACAAGGGCCTAGCGTGTGCAAAATAAAAAGAACAAAGACATAGCGTGTGCAAAATAGCAAGAACAAGGGCCTAGCGTGTGCAAAATAAAAAGAACAAGGGCCTAGCGTGTGCAAAATAGCAAGAACAAGGGCCTAGCGTGTGCAAAATAGCAAAAACAAGGGCCTAGCGTGTGCAGAATTGCAAGAACAAGGGCCTAGCGAGTGCAAAATAGCAAGAGCAAGGGCCTAGCGTGTGCAAAAAATCAAGAACAAGGGCCTAGCATTCGCGAAATAGCAAGAACAAGGGCCTAGCGTGTGCAAAATAAAAAGAACAAGGGTCTAGCATGTGCAAAATTGCAAGAACAAGTGCCTAGCGTGTGCAAAATAAAAAGAACAAGGGCATAGCGTGTGCAAAATAGCAAGAACAAGGGCCTAGCATGTGCAAAATATAAGAACAAGGGCCTAGCGTGTGCAAAATAAAAAGAACAAGGGCCTAGCGTGTGCAAAATTGCAAGAACAAGGGCCTAGCGAGTGCAAAATTGCAAGAACAAGGGCCTAGCGAGTGCAAAATAGCAAGAGCAAGAGCCTAGCGTGTGCAAAACAACAAGAACAAGGGCCTTGTGTTCGCGAAATAGCAAGAAAAAGGGCCTAGCGTGTGCAAAATAAAAAGAACAAGGGTCTAGCATGTGCAAGATTGCAAGAACAAGGGCCTAGCGTGTGCAAAATAAAAAGAACAAGGGCATAGCGTGTGCAAAATTGCAAGAACAAGGGCCTAGCGTGTGCAAAATAAAAAGAACAAGGGCCTAGCGTG